GTGATATTCCCAATGTTTAGGTTCATATCCCTCAGGTATTTCAGTAAGTGTAGCAGGTCCCACAAACACATTAACGCAGAACACAAGAGACAACACTGGAATCAGGCCGAGAAGTGTATAATAATGCAATAGATCCTTGAACTTGTGCCATTGCCACCTGGAAGCAGTGATTGTCATCGTTTTGTGTCCATGGTCACCGGAATTCCTGCACAGCACCACTAAGAAGATCACAATAATAATAATATACATATTACATAATGATTGGATGAATGGAGGTAAAGTAAAGTTTTTATTTACGGTTGATTCCTGTGGTTGGTTTGTTGCCTAATTTGGTGATTTGACGAGCACTAGTTGTGCCCAAACGGGACAAACAACTCCACGCTACCATTTTTTAATAATAATACAGATTGTGAGAGAGTGAGTGAAAATGAAGTGTCAAATGCGAATCCTAACCACAAAAACAGACTTGAAGTTTAGATGGAGGATAGAGGAACGACACACAGTGGTCGGTAAGGTAAGGTTAGTTTTGACTCGAACCAAATTCAAAATGGTGGATATTGTAACGTAAATCTAATGTTAAATTTTAATATTAACTAGTGGTGTATGGGATCGTGCCTTAAGACAGATTGCTGGAACTTTCCGATCCAGAATTATATATTCGAGGAAAAGAAATCAATAATCAATAAATATTGATCAATGGTTAATAATAGTTGTTTTAAACTTTTTTAAATAGATAATTATAATCACTATATATTTTATCGTTCATAAAATATACAGGGATGATCTTATCGCTCAAAGCACTTGAGAAAGTTTTATTAGCAAGATGTGCCGAATGAATTCATCTGAGGATATATTTCTTACGATTAGAATAACGCATTTGAAATATATACATTTTGAAACTGAATTGTAAATTTAAAATTGAAGTATAAAATTTTGTATGTTTTTATTTTTTTTTTGTAAATGTGAAAATTTGCTTGAACCCTATAAGTAAATTTTAAAAATTGTAAATCTTATTACAGAACCCAACAAAAAAATTAGTACTCATTTTTAAAAACTTCATTAAATATCTGATAATTTGTTGTGCATACGTCTAATGTTCATTTTTGACCCCCGAATATCATTTTTTTTAATTTTTTGCTGTATCTCCGAAACCGCTAGACTTGTCTTACCAAAAATTATATCAATTATTTATCTCGCCATAACAAGTAAAATGTTTTTTGAATCATTCAAATCGGATATTCCGTTCTTTTAAGAACTGAGTTTCCATTTTTGGCACTTTTTGCCCCGTATCTCCGAAACGGCTAGACCTGCCATTGTCAGAAACTATCCAGCACGGTTCCTTATCAGTAGGAATCGAATGTTTTTTGAATAATTGAAATCGGTTGGACAGTGCTCCCGAAATCGCATGAAAAACGTTAACCGCACTTACATACACAAGTTAATAAATGATATAATTAATATTATAATAATGATAAATAAATAAACATTATAATTAATGTTAAACTATAGTTTTAAATTAATTAACATTAACTGTAATTTAATTATATTAAATTGCCTGTTGTTTTAAAAATTGGCTTGACAATTTTTGAAGTAAAACTTCTTTAGGCGGATATGGGTGTAAAAATTTCTTTAGGCTACACGGGTGTAAATCCGTACAAATGCAACGAAAACGCCAACGTGAAGTTGAACACTACGACGCCGTAAGCGCTGATGTCGCGAGTATCCACTCCCGTCATGTCATGCTAAGTCGAGCGCTAAACCCTATATGAACTTGCATTAATTGAATCACGTTTTTATGTTTGTCCTCATGGAATAAGACTTTTCTTAGAGAATAATGTGTCATGGATATAATAAATTTAATTGAATTGAAAGTCTCGTTGAAGACAAATAATTCTAACTGCCACGGATATTTATGTAGGTTGCCATGCGACAGATCAACAATCATACATTCGTCAGCAGTTTCACAAAAATCGGTTATTGATACCGGGGGTTTGCCGTATGAAATAATTTAGTTCTGAATAATTTACATTATAAACAACTAATATTGATGTAAGTGATGGCTTAGCTAATGGTTGTGTAGGAAAATTAGTGTACATAGAACGTGGCGATAATGATGAACTTCTACGTTTATGTTTGAATTTCTGGTAAGATAGGTAACAAAATTAGGAAGAAAGCTGTACATCATATTCAAACTCTTAATATCAGTAGGACAGCTGTGCCGATTCTCAGGAGATCTTCATCTATTCCAATGAATAGAAATAAAATCATATTTGCCAAAGAAATCATTTTCTTTATGGCCTTAATTCTTGCTGGAGATTTCAATGTCAATTTTCGTTCAGAAGAATCTCAACCATTAATTGATTTTTTTTAATAATAAATTTAATTTAACAATGAATAATTCTCTTTGAATTCAACCACAAGATATGGCACGACTATTGATGCAGTTTTCTCCAGAAATGTACATAGTTTACAAAGCAAAATTTATGTCTCTCATTTCAGTTATCACAAACCTATTATATCATATATGAAATATGATAGCAATTAATCTATCGCTGTTGTTTTAAACTGTGTTATTGATGTTATGTGATTATTAATATATGATTTTAAAATTCAAATATGATGTTTTTTATTTTTATCTTAATGCCTACTCATACAATA